AGCAAATTTCTTATTGGAGGAATTCCAATCATTCCTCCCCTTCTGCCCTGGCTAGTGTGAGCCTGACAGGGCCAAGGAAGTTCTTCTACGTTGCCCCCATAGAAGCGCTTTGCCAAAACTTACTTTTGGTATTGCATAACAAATATAGGGAATAGCAACACAAGTCCTTAATGTGAAGCAAGGACATGAAGATGACACCAATGACTAGACAATGTAGGGAGATCCCTTGGGCCCAGCCTGATGGTTCTCATGCATAAGTCTGTGCAAGGTATAGTTAGCCTGCTGAATTTCCTTGGCTTCCTTTAAGATGCAGTGCTCTGCCTACACTGAAAAGCTGTTCCTGCTGTAGAAATTGGGATAGTCAGACTCAATAGGTGAAAAGTCCTACAGGTGAGAAGAGCTGGGGTGGCAGAAGCCTGTCGGCAGAGCTGCATTCAGTTGACGTCCGGCTTGCGTAATAGAAGCTGGGATCAGTGTGTCTTGTTTTCAGGAGCTACAAAGCAATAGCTCTTGAAAACATACTCAGCGCTGGTAAGCCTTCATTTCAAGGATAGTTCATTTAAATTCACAAGAAAAAGCTCTACTCATTCTGTCCTGAAGATTCATCCTTCCTTTAAAAGAAGCGGCTTGCTAATAGTCTAGAATAATTGTTGTTATCAATGCAAGCTAATGGCAAGAAATGGTCATCTGGTATTTATGCTTTGTTTCTACACTGTTAAATCAGCCAACTATTACAGAGCCACCAAAAGTATCCAGCATTTCCTCATCAAAAGGAAGCTAAATTCTGTACAAGTGTCCCCGTGAGTTTCCATGTGCATATAACAGGAGAATAAATAAACTAGAATAAATATTTTTATTTGCATTTTTGTACACAATAACATTCTAGACAAGTGTATATATAATCGACAAGTGTATATATAATCTTAATCACATAGAATTACTCACAGGAAGAGCAAAACTAATTTAAATGCTTAAAAGAATTATTGAGCATTTTATATTGTTGCTTAGCTTTGGAAGAACTGAGCTTTTTAGGAGACCAGCTGAGAAGAACAAACACCTTTCATTTCACCACCTCAGAGCTGTTCATTTAAATTAAGGTCCTACCAACTTTTCCACATGAAACCACATTTGAGGCAACTAATACACAGAAGATTCCAGCAGATTAAATAAGAGGGAAAGTATTGTTGGAATGTGAGGCATGAATGCCTGGACCAAAGAGTCCCAAATTACATCTGCTCAACTGTCAAAGCCAGTGAAAGATACTCAGATTTTAAAGAAGCCATCTTGACTTCACTTCATAATTTCAGTTCTTTACCTTCATATCTCCCACAAACTTCCACCAATGATCTACAAGTGGGATTTGTTTTCAGCCCAAGCTTTTGTTTGGTGAACACAAGAAACTGCCAAATTCAAAACAGTTCAGTTTCGTTGGATGTCCCTGCCCCTGCCCTTATTAACACATTTATTTCTGAGAAGTAAAATTTCACTTAGTTCGTGTTCTCTGTGGTAATGTTATTATGATGCAAGTAAGGCCACTCCCAAATTAAAGGAATTACTTCAAGCAAGTATTTATTTATTTATTTAAAACATTTTTTATGCCACCCCCAACGCAACGAAGCCTCGGGGCAGCTCACAACAGAAACAAAATACATAAATACATAAATAATAACAATATAACAATTAAAAAATTATTTAAAAATCCCCGGTGCATCTCGGCTAAAAATTTAAAATCCTATAAATACAAATAATTTTACAATTAAAATAAGTTTTAAATAAAAAGGTCTTAGTCTGGCGCCAAAAAACAAATAACGATGGCGGACCTCTCTGGGGAGCGCATTCCATAGATGGGGCGCCACCGCAGAGAAAGCCCTCCTCCAGGTACTCACCCTCCTAATATCATTCACAGAGGATTCCCAGAGAAGGGCATCTGTTGCTGATCTCAAGGGGCGGGAGGGCATATATGGACGCAAGCCAGTGCAATTTCAATATTTTTTAATTTAAAGGACTTATTCTCCATCTTTCAGTTTGCTAAGGTCATTTCCAATAGCAAAATAATATCAAAACATCAGGTTTAAAAAGGTGAGCAATAAAATGCAACATAAGCTGCTTTGTAAATTATTTGTAAGAAAATACAAATAAGTAAATCAAGTATAAATCAAATAAATCAATAAACACAAGATGCTAATTTCAAATATGACTAAGAACCCAGCTATGGATCTATATTAACTAGCATGGCCATTTATACATATAAAAGAGGAAGTGTGTTGCCCCTAAGGGCATCAATTTTCATAAAATTTGCAGTGCTTATTTATATATAATCTCTATTTAGAAATCATTACAATTTAATTATATATGTAATGCATCCCATCATTGTGGGGAAACTGTGAACAGTACACCTGGTCATTCTGCTATCCAGATGCTGATGGCTGATGAGCAGCTTTGAGAGCACTATCCTCCACACTTGTGAATGATTAATTATCTTTAAACCAGATTTGGACTGGACAGCCCTTCAAACAGAGGGCTATCCCCTCTGAAGTAGGATATATGGAGCTAAATCCATCTTAGCACAAGGAGACTTCTTGCTCTGTTTTCCAGATCTGCTCTTGAGGATTCTCCAAACCTCCAGGGGAGATTTAGGGAAGCATGGGTGGCTTCAGGATAGGCAATGAATACACCATTTGATCATCCCTTTTCATTCTCATGGAAGATGTGGCTATTGGTAGCAGGTGCCATTTTTCGGGCATATCCAACCTAACAATAATAGTGAATGCCTGATATAAGGTCTTAATTAATGAATGGCTCTCTCTCTGTCTTAGCCCATTAGACTTCCTGTTATATTCAATAAGAAAATGTGTTTGTATAAGGGAGTTTCAACAGCTACTGTTTTCTTCAGCACTGTAACCCTATTGCAGAGGAGTTATATGCCCCAAACTTGTTTTCAACACAAAGGTGGAGTTCAGAACATCCTCAACCCAGAGAAACCATAGAACAAGCCATTGTTTCTTACTGTGATTTCTAAAGACCAAACTTACCTTGGTGAAATACCACAACTGGGTTTGGACGACATGACAGATCAACAATGGTAAAAAAAACAAACAAACCCTCCCATGGCTTGTCATCTTGCCTGAACCCAGCCAAAATGTTTATATTTAATGTTCTACATAAAATACCAAATGTAATTGTTCAACAATGGGCTCTGGCACTGGAGGAAGATGATCCCATAACCTATGAAGATAAGACTTTATCCTTTCAATAATCCTTCAGTTATTATAGAAAGTTACCATATGTGGCTTCCTTTTATAATCTTATTTATCTAATTTTACTTAATTTATTTACCTTTTATTTACCACAGTGTCCAGAAGCCCCTGAATATAGAGGCTTACAGGCACCCTGTAGAAACAGGAGTGGAAATGATCTTCCACCTTGCATTTGACACCAGATATGGTGTCTTCACCCACCTAGTTGGCCCATCTCATGGGGGGGGGGGGGAGAAGGAGATTTGAAGAAATTTCAGTATTGCTCATATCCTGACTTCTCCACTCTCTTTCTCTCCCTGCCCACCAGAATGCTTTCCCAACCCTGAAGTGCCAGTGCAGTTCTTTCCATGCCTGCTGAGATGGGGTAGGGGTGGAGGATTGGTGCTCCAATTTCCATCTCTGAAGTTGGAGAACTATCTCTGACTTTGGATCTGGGAATCCAAAATATCTTGTCATCTTTCAGTCACTGTTTATGGACCAAAGAATTGCTCCCTAATAATTATGTCCAGTTTTGCCAATATAAAAACTGTGTAATTACTCTGTACTGCTGCTTTCCACCTATGTAAGAATCTGTGTTTCACCTAAGGATAGAAGTACTTGTGCATAACAAACAGATTTCATATTTCAGAAATGGAGGCTCAGCCATGGTTTTCTTCTTCTTCCAGAAACCCTTGGAATGATCTGAGATGCAACTTGAAACCATTTAAATATCTAACAGAGCACAATTTGAATGCGTACATTTATCCTAAGAGTATAACCCAAGACCAATTTCATGGCTTACGCATTTGCCATCCCTCCCACATATACATATATACTTTTGATTGATTATATTGCAGTATATTGTATTGGGATGCATTTTTAATTTTTGTAATATTTCCTTTGGAAGTTTTTCCAGTATGAAATTATACAGCAGGGGTCTCCAACTCGCGGCCCGCGGGCCACTTGCCGGGCTGGGCAGGGCACGGGGGAGGGGCCCTGCGGCCTTCAAAGCGCCGGCGGCACCCGGGCCGGCCTCCGGGAGCCACGCGGGATGAGCGGCCCACCACCACCGCTTGATGCGGCCCAGCCTCACCCAGACTCTACTTCCAGCGGCCCCCAGGTAAGTTGAGTTTGAGACCCCCTGGCATACAGGGTACAAAAATATATCAGAAACATGAATAAGAATGAGGACATTGAAATAAGTTGTGTCACATATGTATTAGTAGTGACAATAGAAAAAACACACAAAACCCTCCTCAAATCAAATATTTCTGGATGGGTTCAATAATGCTTATGCTTATGGAGCAGCTCTTAACGTTTCCCCAGCATATTTTCCTGAATTTTCACAGCAGCTGTCTTCGCACATCTGCAATTAGGAAACAAGACTTCTAGTGATACCATGCGGTGTCTAGACTCGTTTGTCTAGACGTTTCCCATTTTAAAATTATTCAATGCACCTAGCAGGTACTAGTTTATCAGGCTCCCTCTTCCTCTCGCCCCCGATGTTTCGGGTATTTTAAAAAGATCACGAGCTATTTCCCCTAGACTACAGTTCCCAGGAGACAGCGCGACCACAAGTCTATCGTGGGAAATTGAAAACGCCCAGGTTGCAGCAGCCATTACCTGCTGATATTTGAGCGGAGACTGGGATCGTCGCAGCCTCTATGGAAGCATCGCATGATGCAACTGCAAAGTCGGATTACTCCAGTAGCCAGCAGGCGGCCCGCCTGGAAGCATCGCGTCGAGAGAGAGAGAGAGAGAGAGAGAGAGAGAGAGAGGAGGTCGAGGCCGCGCCCCCTTTCCTCGGATTGGCTGAGCGCCGACCCTCGTCTCTTGCCACGCGGCGCCGCAGTTGTCCTTTTTTGCCTCCATCAGAGGAGCCACGTGGGCGGTATCAGGTCTGATCTCTGGGGAGCAAGCTGGCTTCAGGAGAGGCAGGGGCGTGAGGAGGAGCGGGCGACGAGTGGGGGGAGTACAGAAGGGATGAAACGGAGATACGGAGCGGGTGGGAGGAACAGACGAGAGGCGCCAAGAGAGGCCGTTGGGATGCCGGGGGAGGAAAGGTTTGAAGCGGCTGTGGGGAGTAGGTGGGAAGTGAAGGGTCGAGAAAGAAAAAGTACGGGCTGACTCAGCTGTGATGGCAAGTCGAAAGGAATTGTAGGATCGGAAGCATCGGCAATCTCGAATCTGAGATAAGTGGTCTCAGATTAAGCTCTCCTCTTCCATACATCTGTGCAGAATCTCGGGATGGGTTGTGCGTACGTGCTGCAACTCAGTTCTGGCTCTCACGCTGCAACCTCTAATTTGTTGCCTCGTTTTGTTCACTCCCAGGTTCCCTTAAGCTCACTTTTCTGCAACTTGTGAAATCATGAGCGTGGGATTCATCGGTGCTGGCCAGCTGGCCTTCTCTCTGGCCAGGGGTTTTACTGCAGCAGGTAGGCAGGGACCTGAGACTCCCCGAAACTAAAGTCGATGTGCAAAGGACAGAGAAATACCTTGTTTTCGTGGGATTCTTACAGATACCAAAGTTCTCCTTGTTTATAGAACTGTATTGTTCCTTATAGGTCTGAATGAAACATTGGAAATAATGTGAATATTCCCTATCCTGATAACTGGTACCCATATGCATATCTCTGTCTCTCAGATGACCTGCTCTTTCCCTGGTATGATTTGAGGTGTTTGTGTGTGCATGTACAGAGGTAGGCTTTGGAAGCAAACAGAAACAGTGGAGGTGGGAATGTGAAAAACTCATCAGTTTTTCATTTTTTCTGTTTTTGTCCAGGCCTTTATGTCTGTGTTCACATTCCAGAGAAATGTTTGAGCAGGAGGAGTTACTTTTGTTGGTCTATTGCAACAGTGGGGTGTAGGTCTAAAGTTAATTTTATAAACAATTTTGGAATGCTAAGTTCTCCCCTATTGAAAATCCACCCAGAATGACATCCCTGGTAAATTGACAACCTCTCCCGAATAACTTGTTCCACGATAAAGTTTTGCATTGTTGCAAAAATGGTAATTACTGTGAAACAAAGGCAGGTGACTTGCACTGTTTTCTTCTGTATTTAAGCTCTTCCTTGCATTCAGATATCCAGGTCACAGCAGTCACTTTGTGCAAACAAAAGCCTGGAACCATGGCTAACGTTTGAGGTGTCTGTGAGCCTTCCAAAGATTAACATGGAGGAGAAAATTCCTATTTCCTTTTGCAAAATTCTATTAGAAATGAAGTAATATGACTGGAAGCTAAAAGATTCCATGATTAGTCACTAAAAACTGCACACATTGCAAAAGAGAGCTTGGTTCTTCCCACAAGTCTAGGAAGCATAAAGTTCTCAGGGATGGGAATGTTGGGTGCAACTTGTCCAGCATTTATGTGTTTTTATGACACCTCACAGATGTATGTATTCATTATTCAGGTGTGGGTTTTATGAAAACTCATAACTAGCTGGATTGCCTAGGGTAGGAGTGGGCAGAAGGCAGATCTAGATTGACTGGTGGATCTTAGTATAATTTGCAACAGATTAAGAATTTAGGACTTCTGGTTATTTAGCAGCAGCAACAATATGACTCCTACTTTTAACTGTAAATTATATTGCTCAAGTGAAAAAAACTTGAGTAACTAGGAATGTATTTTTGTGTGAAAAAATGTGTTATCTTCAGGTACTCTGAACAAATTCCTGGGTTTGTTTTTTTCTTCTTCACAGAGCTTGATTAATAGTGAAAAATAAAGTAGATTTTATTTTTCTGAAAAAGTCTGAAATCTGGTCACCCTTGAGTCATGGTGAAGAACCATCCTGACAGTTGAATAGAAGGGATGTGATAATGGGAGGAGATGATGTGTCGTAGCAATGGGCAAAGGTGGTCACAAATGGAAGCAAAAGATTTTTCTCTTTCCAGGGATCTTGGCTGCTCACAAAATAACAGCAAGCTCACCAGACACAGATCTCCCAACAGTATCGGGGTTACGGGTAGGTTCCAGGACTTAAGAAACCTACATTATCTCTTTTCTAGTCACAACAATCCCATAAAAATGTCACTTGGTTCATATCAGCCTCATACTTTACTAGTTTGTCAGGCTGTCTTCTTAGTTCATTGTTTATGTTCTCAGGGGCTGAACATCCCAAGCTGTACTCATTCTGCACTGGTCCTGGGGCTCATTCGTATCTTATATAGCAGAAGTAAAGAAAGTGAGAAATTAGACCTAAACTACATGATGCATGCAAATGCTTGTAAGTGCATCCCAACAGCTCCCTTTTTTCTCATGAGAGGTAGGGGTGATTGACAGCGGAGAAATCCTTGTGGGGAAGGGCACAGAACCCCTTTCCTGCAAGCTGTTTCCATTTACAGATGAAACAATTGGCTTCCTCCCTTGCAAGTTTGTTTTTCTCAGTGTACATTTGAAGCCCCTCTGGAGGATGGAGGAAGACACACTGGTGGGATTTGGACTAGGGTTCTTGCACACACGCACCCCCTGTTTGCTATTCTCAATTGCTCCCTTTCAGAATAGTATATCCAATTAGAAAAGGACTGTTGTGCTACAGTTACACATTTCTTTTTTTTTAAGAAATTTTATTAAAATTTTAAACTAATACTACAAACATCAATCATCACATACATCGGATTTACTGGGTCAGCCCCCTGCTACATATTTTTTAACATTCTATAATCATATTCAAATCAGCTTATAATAACTTAAAAAATCTCTAAATCTACGCCAAGTCCCGTTTCTCCAGCCAATCATAAAAAACTCCCAAGTTTGATAGAAGTAGTTACACATTTCTATATAAAATATATAGTTGGATCCTTCATTTCAAACCTTGGGATAATGGATCTCTTCTTCAGAGAAGGTAGTTGAGAGTTCTTACATCTCAAGAGCCTTAGCTGGTTCCTAGTTAAGTAATTTATCTGTGGTTTGTTTGTTTCTATCTTATTTCTATCCTGGCTTTTTACATTAATGCCACTGCAACTTGCATGCAAATACATGTTTTATAATGATTTTTAATATTTAATGTATTAGAACAGTGGTAACAATATTTAAAATTGCCTAGGGTATTAAAACAGAAGAAATGACACACTAAATCCCTGTTTTGCTAAGAGCTCCATCCCTTTGCACACTTAGATTAAAAAATCCTACAATGGCTGAGTGGGTCATGGTGGGAGTCATAGGATTTTTGTTTGTTTGTTTGTTTGTTTGTTTGGACATGCATAGGATTTTGTGATAATGTTTTCAAAGCCAACTAAAAGTGGGAAGAGAAGTCTTCCATACTGCACATCTGTAAGAAATTCCTGTCCCTATTCCCTGCCAGTCATATTTTCAGTAGAAATGAACCAGAGAATCATCCTCTACTTAAAACTCGAATCCAGATTAAACAGATCTACCATGCAGTTGATTTCTGATCAGTCTGATTTGTTTCCATGCCTGTGTGCCAGCCAGCAGTCTTAGCTGTATTTTGTACCAATTGCCTTTCCTGAAATCTTAAAAGTCACTCTCATATAGAGAGCCTTATGCTTGTCTGTTCTACTCTTGATGTACTAGAACATCTGTAACTGAGAGTAGGCATGACTGGGCCAGTAAAAGGTACTGCTTGGATGGGTAGAGGCAACATAGGGTCCAGGAGCAACCCTAGTTGGCATGTTTGATCTTGGACAGGCTGACCAGGACACTTCCAGGAGGACCAAGAGAACATTCTGACCAGCAGTACAGCTTAACCTCCCATTCCTCCCTCCCTCCCTCACTGCCTGTTCAGTATTTAAGGGACAAAGTCCTACAGCACTGAGGGCCGCTGGTATACTGTCTGCTGACCTCACCTTATTCCTGCCTGTAAGCAAGATTATGCCTGACTCTTGGCTGGCCCTGTGTCCTGTTAGCCTTGCTGTTGTCTAGGTCAAAAGAGAAGGATGCTTCATCAGTTGCTCTTCCAACCTCTTAATTCCAGAAAATGGGTGTGAATTTCACTATAAGCAACAAGGAGACGGTTAAAAACAGTGACGTCCTGTTTCTGGCTGTGAAACCTCCCATAATTCCATTCATCCTGGATGAGATTGGCTCAGACATAGAAGATCGGCACATTGTGGTCTCGTGTGCTGCTGGAGTCACTATCAGCTCCATCGAGAAGGTGAGAAGAGCCTCACAGTGATGATTTCTGACAAGCCTCTTCAGGTTTATTTAGTTATTTGTTAAATTTGTATGCCTCCTTTCTTCTTTTTTTTGAAGAAAATGGTGACTTGCATCATCTCTTCCCACTCTCGGTCTTATCCCCACAACAACAGTCCTGTGAGGCAGGTTGGGCTGAGAGTCTGTGACTGGCCCAAAGTCACTCAGTTGGCTCCATGGCTGAGTGGGGCCTAGAACCCACATCACTTCAGTTCCCATCCCATGCTCTTAACTACTACACCACATGGGCTCTCAGGTTGGCTGGGTCTGGGCAAAGGGTAGCTGCTGAATTCCACTGAAGACCAAGGTAGAAATGGCAATGGTTCTATGGGTCTGAACATGGAACTGCCTCTCTCCTGTGGGTTGGTGGGAAGTTCAGGACAGGGAAGTCCACTTCTGCTGTTGTGGCGGATACAGCTTAAATCTGGATCCAACCCCGTAGTGCCTTTGAAAACATGGGGTTAATGGGCTCAGGCTTTTGAGCTGAACTGCTGGGTGCTTGTCGTAATATTTCCTGAAAATGGAATGGGAAATTTTATTTATTTATTTATTTATTTATTTATTTATTTATTTATTTATTTATTTATTAGAACATTTCTATGCCGCCCCTTGCCGAAGCCTCGGGGCGGCTTACAACACAATAAAATACAATAAAATACAAAAATAACAATATAAAATTAAAATTAACAATATAAAATAAATAAAAAATATAAAAGATATAAAAGAAGTTATAAAAGAAAAGAAGTCACCCTGGCCAGATAAATAAGTAAATATTGTTAACAATTAAAATGACGTTTAAATAAAAAGGTCTTCACCTGGCGCCGAAAAACAAATAACGACGGCGCCAGGCGGACTTCTCTGGGGAGCACATTCCATAGATTGGGTGCCACCGCAGAGAAAGCCCTCCGCCGAGTACCTACCCTCCTAATGTCCTTCACGGAGGGCTCCTGGAGAAGGGCCTCTCCCGCAGATCTCAGGGGGCAGGCAGGTGGGCATATATGGATGTAAGCGCTCCTTCAGGTAACCAGGACCCAAGCCGTTTAGGGCTTTATAGGTCATCACCAACACCTTGAATTGGGCCCGGACTTCAATGGGAAGCCAGTGAAGCTGACGGAGGACTGGAGTCATGTGAACATAACGCCCCGTCCCCGTCAGCAACCTGGCAGCTCTATTTTGAACCAATTGAAGTATCCAGACCATCTTCAAGGGAAGCCCCACGTAAAGCGTGTTACAGAAGTCAAGGCGGGAAGTCACCAGCACGTGTGTCACCGTCGCCGGGTCGAGGAGCACTCCTAAGCTGCGGACCTTGTCCCTAAGAGGGAGTGCAACCCCATTCAGGACCAGGTCAAATCCATCCTCTCCGAAGCCCGATCCGCCAACCAACAGGACCTCCGTCTTGTCTGGATTGAGCTTCAGTTTATTGGCCCTCATCCAACCCATTACCTCGGCCAGGCACCAGTTCAGCACAGCCACTGCCTCACCTGGATTAGTGGAAAACGAGAGGTAGAGCTGGGTATCATCAGCGTACTGATGATTCCGCAGCCCACACCTCCTGATGACCTCTCCCAGCGGTTTCATGTAGATGTTAAACAGCAAAGGGGACAAAATGGACCCCTGCGGTACTCCATGGCATAGCTGCCATGGCGCAGAGCCATAGTCCCCCAGCACCACCTTCTGGAATCGGCCGTTGAGATAGGAGCGGAACCACTGCAAAGCAGTGCCTCCGACCCCCAATCCTGCTAGCCTATCCAGAAGGATACCATGGTCGATGGTATCGAAAGCCACTGAGAGGTCCAGGAGAACCAACAGGGATGCACTCCCCCTGTCCTTCTCCCTGCACAGGTCATCGTACAGGGCGACCAAATGGCTTGTTCAGTGTTGTGGAAGGAATAAAAGTGTCTGCCTGCTCTGGCCTCGTCTCTTCTCTGCCAGGGAAAGGTTTCTGCAAGGCATGTGAATGTAAACTAGGGCATAGACTCCCCTGAGGAAAACATGGCATATGGCTGTCCTGCACCAGGTACCCTCTTGAAGAAGTTTGCAATGAGAGCCTTTGCAGGAATCTGGACAGCCTGGTGCTGGCTGGATTTGCCATATGTTTAGGCATTTGTGCCCTTCCTTAGCTGCTTCTGGTGCTCTAGCTCCTGATTTTTCAAGTGGATATCCAGAGAATCCACCCAGAGAATCCTCCTAGGCTATTGGTTAATGTGGATGATATATTCAATTATAAATAAATAAATTGAAGGAACATGTGCTCTCACTGGAGCCTTAGCCTAATAAACTTGGTAGTTTCTTGTCCTTTTTCCACTGTTGACCTCAAAAGCTTCTTTCCTAGACAAGCTCAAGCATCGAGTACTCCGTTCCCATAGACCCATCTTTTATTGTTATAATTTTTAATAGCATGGGTTTTCTTGGGGCATGGCTGTGTACATGCACATGGTTCCAGGTTGAACTACAACATTCCCAATTCTTTCATGGACACATGGTCCTGGATAATCGGTAATGACTTAGATGGTCCTGGGATAATGTTGGTAACATGCAGCCAGTTTTGCTGATTTTGAGACTGTCGTCCTTGTGGTTTCCAGTCCTTCCATGCAGATGTTCAGATGTTCTGTTTGGCCGGAATGTATACTTCAGAGGAGGGGTGGGACTGTGATCTCTTAGGGCCTATACAGTTTCATTTGTGAGCCTGTGCTTGCTCCAGTTTTCTGCGCTTCAGGACCTCTGCACATCAAGGGTGCAAAACCTCAGGCCCAAGTCCCAGTCTGACCCTTTGGGATTCTCCAGACAGGCCCTTCCCCTGATCCCACCCCCACTACTCTGCCAATCTTTTGGTGTGCTGCTGGTTTTGAGCATGTTTCCTTCCATTCTAAAAGGTTGAAAGGCTTTTCTTAAACTTAGCTACTGGCAGCAAGAGCATTAAACTAAAATATGCTTGCATTTTTGCCCCCAACCCTTTTGACATCTACCTTTCCCTCCACTGGAGTGCAGCCTCCAAGAGCTTCCCCAGAATGACATCCAAATCCCAGGCTGCAAGAGGTTCATTACCCTTGTTCTGGAGGTGTATAACCTCGAAAAAGCAGAAAGGTTGGATTTCTGTGCTTCTTGCAGCTAAGAACTCCATTCCAATAAAACTTGTAAGTTAAACGTGTTCATTTGTTTCTCCTGTTTGTGTCTCAAGAAACTTTGTGCCTTCTGCCCCACCCCGAAAGTGATCAGGTGCATGACCAACACCCCGGTGATTGTGCGGGAAGGGGCTACCGTGTATGCCACGGGGACCCATGCTGAAGTGGAGGACGGAAAGCTGTTGGAGCAGTTGATGGCGAGTGTCGGCTTTTGCACTGAGGTGGAAGAAGATTTGATCGATGCAGTCACTGGGCTCAGTGGCAGTGGGCCGGCTTACGTACGTGCCATTTTTTTCTTGCTCTTAGAAAAGGTTTGCACCCAGTCGAGGTTTGGATGGAAACAGTCTACAAGATAAATGTTTTGGTCCTTGGACTTTAATGGGCATGTGCATATTCACAGCTAGCCTCAGGTTTGCTTTCTGCAGGATGCATAACCTTGCCTTTTTTCTTTAGCAGAGCAGAGGTTAGAAGTCAGGAACAAAATCTCTTGATTACCAAGAGATGGTCGAGCATTGCTGTTTTTCCTGGTTACATTTTACCTCTAGAGACTTCAGCATTATTTTCCTTTTTGGTTTCAGGCATTCACAGCCTTGGATGCTCTGGCAGATGGAGGGGTGAAGATGGGCCTTCCTCGCAGGCTAGCAGTCCGGTTGGGAGCCCAGGCCTTGCTGGTCAGTGTCATGTCTTACATACACTTTCTTCAAGCCAGACCTGTTCTATTTTAGTGGAAAATACTGCCCAGCATTTCCTTTCCACTTAGTTCTTAAACACGTGGCTGTTTGAAGTCCATGGAAGCATCCTGCATCACTCAGCTTTCTTACCGACACTGAGTTCTCATTGAACTGACAAGCAGAAGTGGGGGTGCCGAGGGAGGGGCTCAGAAGATGCAGGTGCTGACTTGGCCGTGAGCAATACAAAGCAGATTCCCCTTTCATCCAGCAGGCCTCTTGTCGTTTTGAGAAAGGCGCCAGGTGTCGGATGCCTCCATTGTGTGCAGCTGTGAATCGGGACCTTCAGCATTTGCCTAGAAATAACAAATGGGAAAAACTGAATAGATGTTAAAGCAGCTGCTGCTATTTCTGTGAAGCACTCTAACTCTTCCTCACTGCTGCAGGGAGCTGCCAAGATGCTGCTGGAATCTGAGCAACACCCTGGACAGCTGAAGGACAACGTTTGCTCACCGGGGGGCGCCACCATCTATGCCCTGCACTTCCTGGAAAGCGGTGGCTTCCGCTCACTGCTCATCAATGCTGTGGAAGCGTCCTGCATCAGAACAAGGTACTCCTGAACCGGGAGGCAAGGAGCAGTGTCCCCTCACAGCTCTTTTCTCTGAGCCGCTAACCAGTTTTCTGGCTGTTGGCAGGGAGCTGCAGTCCATCGCTGACCAGGAGAAGGTCTCCCCAGCTGCCATTAAGAAGACCTTAATGGATAAAGTGAAACTTGAGTCTTCCTCTGCCAACAAGGTCAGCCTGTTCAACAACAAGAACCCTGGCAGCAAGAAGTACTGAAGAGGCCAGGCCTTGCCCGTCGCGCTTCTCTTTCTCTGTCGAGGGAACCTGTGGCGCCAGCCGGGGTGGGTGTGGGGAGGGGGGCCTATCCTGAACTCGTGGCTGCAGGACAAAGGGGGTAAGTAAGAGCACCCACATGCCATGCTTAGAGTAGTGGGGAGGCCTGCATTTCTGGGCGCTGAGCGGGAGGCTGTGTGACTAGCACTTTCTCTAGGAGTACATCTTCTGAAATCAGTCTGATTGCTTCCTGTTTGTACAATTACCTTTTAATATTTGTATCCCGTGATTGCTTTTTGTAGCCCCTTTCTTATTTACTGTTCCAGCAAACCCGTGAGGTTGGTTTCACATGAGCGACCATAGCTGGTCCAGAGAGCTTTTACAGCCATGCTGAGGTTGGATCCCAGGTACTCCCAGGCTGCCTTCTTTGGCTTTTTGGTGGCGCAGAGGCTGGCGGCAAAACAGGGCCCTCGAGTTCCAGTAGCCCTCATGCATCCCATTCTTACCAAAGAGTGGCTGCTTGCACTGGATTTTGGATTGTGGTACCATGTTTTTTTCTAATTCTCATTGCAAAGTGTACTGCATCTGTCTCTGCTTTGCTTGAACTTACCATATTGCATCAGGCACTGCCAGTTTCCTGGACTAAACTGTATCACCCACAAGACCGAAGAAAATGCATCTCAGGCTTTCCTTCTCTGCTTCCTTCCCTTACTCCAGATGGACCTCCATCTGGTATGCTGTCAGCCTGCAATTTCAGGTGCATCTTCCTTTTGGCTGAAGTCAAGGGCCTGGGGCAGCTTGGTTCTAACAGGACCTGAGGAAGCTGCCTACTGCCAAGGCAGACCATGAATCCATGTAACTCAGGACTGTCTGACTGACTGGCAGAGGCTCTCTCGAGTTTCCTAATTAGAAAAGACATGCTGGACCAGACCTGTGGTGCTGCCAGAAGCTCTTCCCTTGGACTCCAAAACTCGGCAGTCCTTTGAAATGCGGTTTTTTATTTTGAGACTCCACAGAATGGTTTGACTCTATAAACAGCCCTGCTCCTGGCCCTCCTCCTCCATTTCAGCACCTGATGGTGACTGCCCATGCACAGCTGACAAAGAGTGAGAGACGGGCCCCCTCTCTACGGGTCCATCCAGTCCAGCATTTCATCCCCACAGTAGCAAACCAGCTGCCCTCAGGACAGGTAGAACAACTCCCTTCTACCCAAACTCCCCAGCAACTGGTACGTCAAGATCTGTCCCACCTCTTGGATGTGCCAAGGCCTTAATCTTGCTGCCTAGTGCACACTTCCAGCAGGCCACCTGAAATTGGCATGTGACTATTTTTCAAATCACAGTGAGGCAGAAATGAATGCATATTGGAGTTGACTTCTGTGGGCATATCTCAAAGGATCAGTGTTATGTCAGCAATAACCAGGTACTATGCTCTATTATTATTTTATATATTATTACATTTATATACCTCTTTTCTTCATCTTGGAAAAAAACCAAGGATGGCTTACATAGTTTTACTGTCCTTTTAATTCTCACAGCACCTCTGTGACGTAGGTTGGGCTAAGGCCTGGTTTGCACATAGTAACATCCCAGAGTACAGGTTGATTGCCAGTCATTGTGTTGCTATGGATTGTTGAATCATGGGTTATTACAGGGTCAGGGTTAGGGAACAACCCCATGTTTGCAACTCAGCAAGCCATGGGTTCTCTTCCTTGGTTTGTTAACAATCTGTAGTTTAAACATAGTGCAGTGCTAGAATATAACAACCACCTGTGCTTTGGGTTCTTGTTACGCGTCAACCAGGCCCATGATTGGCCCAAAGTTGCCTAGTGGGCTTCATCGCCAAGTGGGGGACCAGAACCAAGATCTCCCGGGTACCAGTGCAAGACTCTAATCATTAAACCGTGCTGGCTATCCTATGATGCAAGCATGAGACACCTATTACCTGGGTGGACGCTGCACCTGCCTCACTTTCACTTACACGTTTTCTCTAGTATTCCCATTTTAGAAAAGTGAGTTGAGACTGAATGTTGCCTGAAGGCTGCACAAGGGGACAAGAAGTCCGGGGTCATGGTCTAGAGGTAGACTTGACAGGGCTACTCCCTGCATGCCCTCTTTGGGTGCTGCCTGCACTGAGCAGCCACAGTGGTCCATAGTGCTTTTGAGCAGAGCAAACTGCTGCCTCTTCCCTGTGCGAAAGGAGGAAGCACTTTGTTTTGTCTATGGAGCCGAGTGATGCCTCCCCCGTCCCACTACAGAACTTTGTCTTTGGTTCTTGGAGACGGGCAACTGCTCTGGACTTCTCCATTGCTCTGTGTCTTGCCAAGGATCTGAAAAACTGCTGAAACTCCATTCCACATTGGCGATTGCCTATTTCCCACCGGCGCTTTCTGCCTTCACTCCTTTTTCTTGCACAGTGGGCCACTTTTTACTAGTTATGCTTTTCTGGCTCAGGCATACAAAGAAAACATGAGCCTGAACAAAGCTTGGGCCTCCAAGCTGTCTCCTCCCCTCTTCTTTATCTGCTACAGGAAGGCAATCAGAAGCATCCACTTCTGCTTTTCAGCAAGCCACAGTTCCCCATTACACTCAAATTCAGGAAATTGTTTCAATAACACTTTAGAGAGCACAAGCCAGGATCACACCATTTTTCTGTTGCATCTGAAGGAGGCTGCTGGTTTTGCTGAGGGTGCTGCCTTGCACACACAGTGCTTTGAGGGTGTTGTCATTGCACACAGACCAGAGAAAAATAGGTCTTTGATGTAGGCACAAGTACTCTGCTCTGAGGAGCTTCATGTACTACCTCACAGTTGCTCTTTCAAAATGATGGTTATTGCTGTCTATAACTTGTTTACTTCAAAGTGAGTCGCAAAATCTTCCCTTTCTCTCCTGCCCCTGAAAAAAGTCATATTGCAAACCATCGATCTTCCCAACTCTGTGGATGACAATGATTGGAACAGGGGATATGGCTCCTGATGGAGACAACATGCCGTTGGCCAGAGTCACTGTTCTCATGTTGGGTAACAGGTGTGGAAGATCGGTTTTCCTTGAGCCTGGCAGTTTTGCATTTGGCACATAGTGATGCCAAACATGCAAGCTATTCTGCATATAATCCAGATTATCTCATGCCTGTAGGGGTTAAAGCTTCTTGTATGGTCCTCTCTGTTGGGCTGTGACTGCTGAGAACACAACTCAAAATGCTGGATAGTCAGTTGCTTTCCTACAGATTTGCATGTTTCCTAGTTGCTACTCATTGGGATGTTAAGGGGCAGTTTATGTTCACTCCCTCTAAGACACATTTTCCCCATTTCTTTCTGGAGAATAAATTCTCTGTTTCTTAGCCTGAGACTTGGTGTGTGAATTGTGTGATTTTTTTTCTATTTTCTTTAATATTTTTCTATCCTTGTTTCTGTCAAGGCACACAAGGTAGTTTGCACTTTTGAAATACTGAAATAAATATTACAATACTCAAAAGTTAATTGAAGGTCCCTTCAGGAGCTGATGGCATGAGCTCCCTGGCCTGGATTTTTCCTCCTCTTGCATTTTTTAAAATTAGATTTATATGCTGCATTTTCCTTATAACAAACGCAACGCAGCTTACATAATTCTGCTCTCAATTTCATCCCCGCAATATCAACCCTATGAGATCAGTTGGACCAAGAGTCTGTGACTGGCCCAAAGTCATCCAGTTGGTTTCACGACTGCAGGGACTAGAACCCAGGTCACCTGAGTCCCAGTCCTGGACTCTTAACTGCTACACCACACTGGCTTTCTTGTATAGGCTCTTTTTAGATGGGTGAGGCTGTTCTTATGTCCATGCACATGAGAACCTTGCTTCAATGACTTAAGGTCAGATCTTGTCTGAATGTGGATATTCCTTTCTTCCTTTTTTTTCCCTCAAGTATGAACAGCTTGTGGGGATCACATATATGCAGAGCAGTATTTCTCTTTGGTTTGTAAACCTATGGCACTTTTAAACCTTGTAATTGGATGCCACGGGTCCACAAGCACGGACTTAAGCACAGCCTTCATGTGCTGATTTTTTTTATATAGAACTGTGATGTGTTCATATTTGTCAGCTCTGCCTAATGAAGACCTCGGCAGAACGGGCAACTTTTGTTAGACGGCTACCAATAGAAGTTGCCTTGTCATTGTATATTTTGAAAAGATTTGTATGTCTTTGAAGAAGTTTGAAAGTACAGTATCTCAATTAATACTTTTGATAATGCATCCAGAAACACTGCATTGAACCGTGCCCTCTGAGGTTAGATCATGAGACGTAGCTCACAACTACAGTTCAACCAAGAGTTAAGCTCACTGCAGCAGATCAATGGATTGAACTTCAATGCACATAACACTGTATTGGACTGGGGACTGTTAAATCTCTTTTATGGTGCTACAAAATGATTTCCTGATAATGTGGTTGGTTTTGTGTTTTTATTTTTGCTTTATCTGTAGAACTTCTTGAAAAGGTTTCTAAGCCACTTTGTACATGTTGCTGTTGCTCCCACAGAGGACTGGGTCAGTGCTGCCTTGGTTTTACGATGCCACACATTCCTTCTCCTCCTGAATGCTTGCAACCCCAAGGGAAAAACAGGAGGGACCCATATTTGTGTGCACGGAGACTTGTGGTAAAATCCCAGTATTATGATTACAATACACTCATTGCATTGTAATTGTATCTTGGCTTGTTTCCTCTTGTGAGGAATCCAAGGTGGCTGACATAATTGTAATTTACCTGCATGACAACCTTCAGGTAGGTTAGGCTGGGAACGTGACTGGCCCAGGAGGCTTCATGGCTGAGTGGAGACTAGAACCCGGCTCTCCTGGGTCCCCAGTCCAGCACTCTAACCACTATGTCACACAGGGATAACCACTGTCCCTGAAACAACTATATATGCTAATCATACATGGAATGCTGAACTGTGTTCTGTCTGGTTTTAAAAATGCTGTTGAAGATGTTCCACCAGAGGGAGGGCTTACATAATTTAAACATGCAGTACTTTACCAATAAATTGTTGTCCTAAGCAGGGAAGAAGAGGAGAAAGCCTTGTTGCAGGAGCAGCATCTGTTTGTGTAATTTTGGATTTCACCTGTGTCAATTTGGAAGTAAGTTTCATTGAAATTAAGGGGACTTGCTCCTGGATACATAGTTACTGGATTGCGGCCATAGTACGTTACACGTGTGCCTACCCCTTGTGCATGGAGCAAACTGTGTTCACTTGTAAAGCATCAGGGGAAGAATGATGTGCCCTTGCAAAAGTCTTCTCAACCTGTCAATTCTAAATAGATGCAGAGAATACTTTCCATCTTTTCTGCCATGTAGGCCCTTCTGCAGTCATCAGGAATCACTGTGTGCAAATATTTTTGTAACAGACAATACTGATAAAAGAGATGCAGTTTCTCAAAGCCTGAGTACACTGTGCATCAGACTGCTTTCTTATTTTTGTTCCACCTGAAACAGTACTAACAGAATTTTCATCAGTCATATGAATTCTGCATGTGGCATTTGCCTTGCCTTTGCACTCACATTTTGAAGTCAAAGGGGTTTATACCGCTCTTACACAAATGCCAGAAGTTTTTAAAAATCTGTCCTCCATTTCAAACACTGTTTTACAATGTCAACAAGCATAGCAAAGCTCACAAATAAGCTTATGTAATTTTTTATAAATTTAGCCATAGCGAATGACTTACATTGTGACTGAAGTAACAATTGAGTGTATGAAGTAGCATATGTATTTGCGGGAATGAGAAGGATGTGTGCTAAGAGGAGCTGTTGAGTGCCTGATATAATTTATTGTGTGTGTGTAGAGTGTGTAGTAGAGAGATGAATGTCTTACAGAAAATCACACATCATTAAAGTGACTGAGTGTGAAAGAATATAGTGTGTGAGAAGGGGAGAGAATATCGGTGCGGAGAGGTGTATACGTGAAGTTCCTGTCGGGCAAGTCACTATGTGGCCAGAGAAGGTGTGACACAGTTTTTACTCAGGTTCTGCTCTTGTGGGCATCCTCCTCTGCCCCTGTCCATGGACCAGGAAACACTTCTGTACACTGGGATGCTGTTCTGTGGTGGGGCCTCTAAGGCAAGGATAGGCACCAAGATGTTTTCGAGTTCAGCTCCCAGGATTCTTGACCATTTGCTGAGCTATCAAGGCCTTCGGGGAGTTGCAGTCCAAAATATAGGGAGATCTCCCCTCTTCCCACCCCTGCTTTAAGGGACAGAGAAGCAGCTTGTTTCCCATTAGTGACCATGGAATGGCCAAGCAACCTGTCCGAACTCTAAGCTTCAACAAGAATTCAAGTTGTGCTTTTTCATGTTTTAAACTACTTGATGAAACCTCTGGGCGGAGGCCTTTCTAAAATACAGACCATAAGCTTGCCATAATGCACCCCACACCACCACACAAGGAATGCCCAAGCTTACTGTCCAAATTACCGATCCCAATGCTGCTGTCCCAGCACACGAGTGGTGCGGATAGCAGAACTGATAGTGCAACCATCAAAGTAGCGTTTTCCTCGTGGCAAGTACCTTTCAGAACTGTGCTTCTCAACCTTCCGATTTGACACATCATTGGATTAAATGCATATACAAGGAGGCACAGTGCCCAAGCAAAGAAGAGTGAAGTACCTCTACGGGCTACAGCAAGGGCAGAAAACTTACAGGCCAAACCATCTGAAGGATCACAATTCCCATCAGCCCTAGCAAATGTGACACATGGTGCTAAGTCAAAACATCAAGAAGGCAAAATATTGCTTACCCCGGGCTATATTTGCCTCTGCTATGCCACAGGATACAGCACTTGCTCTGGGATCATAGACTGAATGCAACCGAGAGCAGATGATCCATTTAAGTGTGCGGAACAATACCTCTGATCAAGGGAGCCACATTCTGCTGCAGGACGAATTGTCGCCTTTGGCCACAATGTGTGTTCTCCAGGATGTCCCAGCTCAAAGGGAGGGCAGGTGCTGTTACCTAGTAAAAGGGTAAGATCCTCCTTTTGTTCCTCTGGTCTCCTATTTGGGGACACCTTAACGCAGTTGGTTGGTGTCTGACAAGAAATGGAATTCATACAAATTGGCTGGAATGGTTTTGCCACGAGGTTGCAGGGTTGTTAAATTGCTGTCCTAGAGCAGGGCTGAGAGGAGCTGTGTCCTTCCAGATATTACTGCACTTCTTATCAGCCCTGGCCAATGGAGAAGAATGACAGAAATAGTCCCTCTGCATCTTGGAGGGCCACAGGTCCTCCAGCCCTTCGGAGCAGAGGTGTGCAATCTTTTCGACTCCGAGGGCTGCATGCACTGCTTGATCAGGGCTTGGGTGCACATACAAATCACAGTGATCCTGATGAAGGTAGGTCTTTCCTTGCTGGTAGCTCTAAGAACTGCTGAAGGAGGGAGTGGAGAGCCTTTCCCTCACCTTCTCCCAGCAGTACCAACACATCCTTGCTTCTCCAGTGAGGAAAGAACTCACTGGATGGGGATCTCTAGGGAGGGAAATGGTGGCAGTGGGAGGCGATCAGGGCACCTTTGTGGACCCCAGTGAAGGCCTTGGGGAAAGGGCATGTGGCCCTGTGACTACAAGTTGGGTGGCCCTTTTTTTAGAGGTTGGTAATTGCAACCTTCTGTAACAGACACAAAAGCTGAATACATACAGCTGCTTTTCTACCTCACTCCTCTCCCAGTACTTTATAGGCTATAAACTCAGTGGGGTAGAAACATAGTCTTTAATTGGAACTGAAAGAAGGCTGGAATAGAATGGATCGATCTGTATCTGGCCTGTGCATACTTTTTCACTGTGGCATTCGCTTTCATGTTTGTCTGCTGCAATGAGGATCGTTTTTGTAGGGCTCCTTTTCCAATCTTTTTAAAACTTTGCATGTGCATCCATACACATGCTGTAATGCTAGGTCAAGGTGACATGGCATGAGACCCTTCTCCATTTTACCTCTTAAATGAATGCTAGTGAATAGTTGATGGTTGTGTGTACAACAACTTAAAAACACTACATCAGAATTGATGCTTGGTAATTGGGTTATTTTTATGTTTATGATAGTGACTGAAACAACTACTGAGTAAACTGACTACCTTGGTAAGCATTAAGGTTGGTCACCAACTAAATGGTTTTAGGATTAATCATCTGCCTCTAACAATTAATTGGTTAAATTTTAAATACATTCACATATTGTCCTAATTTGGTATTGGTATATCTTTGAGATAACTGCAGGAAGTGTAAAGTAACTTTTTATTAACAGAAACATGGGGGTGGATGGACATTTTACAATTTTCTTTCTCCCTGTTTTAAAGGAGGCTAGAACCAATGAAGCCTTAGAGTGTGCCCTTCACTCT